GAATTGTTGGACTAAATAGTAATTCTATGTTTAATTTTTAAGGAATCATCCAATTTCTCCACATTCTCACCAACACTTATTTTTTGTTGTTTTTTATAATAGCCATCCTAATGGGTTTAAAATGGTATTTCACTGTGGTTTGATTTGCATTTCCCTAATGACTAGTGATACTGAGCATCTTTTCATGTGCTTATTGGTCACTTATGTAACTTCTTTGGGGAAATGTCTATTCAAATTCTTTGGACATTTTGAATCAGGTTGTTTGGGTTTTTGTTGTTGTTGAATATTAGGAGTTCTCTTCATATTCTGGATATTAATCTCTTATCAGATATATACTTCGCAAATATATTCTTCCATTCTGTGAGCTGTCTTTCTATTCTCTTGGTAGTGTCCTTTGATGGCCTTCTTTGTATTTTTCAACTTAAAATGACGTGATTTCTACCTTATATATTCTTTACTTTACAGTTTTATTCAAAATTTTCATAAACTTATAAAACATGTTAAAGATTTATTATTGTAAATTTTGTAAAGCTTTAAAAAGGTAAATTTGCCCGGCCGGGTGTGGCTCAGTAGTTGAGCATTGACCTACGATCCAGGAGATCAGGGTTCGATTCCCGGTCAGGGCACATGCCTGGGTTGCGGGCTAGGCAGCCGATCAATGACTCTCTCATCATTGATGTTTCTATCTCTCTCTCCCCCTCTTTTCCTCTCTCTGAAATCAATATGTTTAAAACAAAACAAAAAAAATTTTTTTGAATAAAAAAAATAAAAAGGTAAATTCCAGTGTTTTATTTTTATCTAAAACTACTTTCTATATCACCATTTACTATGAAATAGACACTGTAGTCCATTCAAGTTTTGAAAAGAGTGATTTCTGCACACAAGTAACCCGTACACAGCAAATAATTCACCTTTGACTGTCAGTGTTACTACCTGACTCAAGCATTCTGTTTGGAGTCCAATGAGAATATAAGATAAACTTCATACTTTAAAAATAGAAGGAATCACTTGTCCTGCTTGTTACATGACTGCCTATGTTGACAGACAACAAAGTGAGGTAATTAAAAGCCTTTATTTGTAGGTAAATTGATTGGGTTCAAATCTGGGTGCTCCCACTTCCTAGCTGCGGGGCTCAGCAAGGTTACTTAACATCTCTGCGTCTTAGTTGTACCATATATAAAACGGTGGCAAATTCTAGGATTACCTCATAAAACTGTTGTGAGAATTAAAATGAGGTAAAATTTTCTAAAATGGAACATGAGTTGGGACAAAATAAACACAGGTGCTCGGTAAATGAAAGTGCTACCTAAAGGAATCAATTCCCTATGTTAACCATATTTGTCATCAACATTTTATTATGATTTGCATATGACTCATTAATTAATCAATACCTTCCATTCTGATAAAGAAATATTTAAGGTTCTATAGCCCCATGTTTGAGCCTTTCTACCATATATTTTAGAATTACCATGGAATAAATAATTCATTCAAGAAATAAGTTAGGATTCAACGCAATTCCTATCAAAATACCAATGGTATTTCACAAACCTAGAATAAATAATCCAGAAATTCGTATGGAAACAAAAGACCCCAAATAGCAACAGTAAGTGGTATCACACTACCTGATATCAAACTATACTATAAGGCCATAGTAATCAAAACAGCATGGTACTGGCATAGAAATAGACACATCGATCAATGGAACCCAGTAGAGAGTCCAAAAATAAATCCACGCTTATACAGTCAATTAATCTATGACAAAGGAGGCAAGAACCATACAATAGGGTAAAGACAGTCTATTCAATAAATAGTGGTGGGAAAATTGGACAGATACATGCAAAAAAATTAAACTAGACCGCCTTCTTATACCATACACAAGAATAAACTCAAAATGGTTTAAAGACTTAAATGTAAGACCTGAAACCATAAAACTCCTGGAAGAAAATCTGTGACATTTCTTTTAGCAATATTTTTTCTCATATATCTTCTCGGGCAAAGTAGACAGAAGAAAAACAAAGGGATTATATTAAACTAAAAAGTTTTTGCACAGCAAGGGAAACCATCAACAAAATCAAAAGCCAACATACTGAATGATACATCCGATATGGGGTTAATATCCAAAATGTATAAAAAACTCAGACACCAGAAAAACAAACAACCCAATTAAAAAGTTCGCAGAAGACCTGAATAAATACTTCTCCAAAGACATACAGACGTCCAATAGGCATATAAAAAAATGCTCAACATCACTAATCATCAGAGAGATGCAAATCAAAACCACAATGAGATACCAGCTCACTCTGTCAGAATGGCTGCCATCAGTAAATCAACAAACAACAAGTGCTGGCGAGGGTGTGGAGAAAAGGGCACCCTCACGCACTGTTGGTGGGAATGTAGAATGGTGAAACCACTATGGAAAACAGTGTGGAGGTTCCTCAAAAAATTAAAAATGGAACTGCCTTATGACCCAGTGGTCCCACTTCTGGGAATATATCTAAAGAAACCTTAAACACTAACTTGAGTATATTCACTGCAGTGTTATTTACAATAGCCAAGATAAGGAAGCAGCCCGAGCACCCATCAATAGATGAGTGGATAAAAAAGCTGTGGTACAGACCGGCTGGAGTGGCTCAGCTGAGCATCGTCCTGTGCACCGAAAGGCTGCTGGTTCGATACCCGGTCAGGGCACATACCTGGGTGGCGGGTTCGTTCCCCGGTTGGGGCATGTACGGAAGGCAACAAATCGATGTTTCTCTTTTGCATTGTTTCTCTCTCCCTCTCTTTGTAAAAATCAATAAATAAAAAATAAAAAATTAAATGTCATATCTAAGTCACTTATACTTTGGTGACCACTTAGCCCAACTGTTTGGACTGATTATATTCTACATTGTACATTTGTGGGAAGAGAAAACCTGTCACTCTTACACTAAAACATGATATTCTGTATTTTAAGTATTATCTATACTTCCATAGTTCAGTATCAAATTTTTAATGTCAATCATCTTCCCCTTTTAAAAATGTCTTAGTTTAGCTGTATATTGTCCAAAAATTAAATATTTGTAAATAGCAAGTGTCCATTCACAAAGGGCACTGAGTAGGGCTTAGAGGGAAAAAAGTAAGTGCATTTTAAAAATGTAAGATGCTCTAATAAACTTTAAGTAGTCAGTATATATGAAACATTATGTGTCCAGCACTGTCCTGAGTACTTTGAGGAGTATACAAGCGTGCATAAAAGCACACCCATGCACACAGAAGGAAGTAAATTAATCCACATGAAACAACTGCAGAACAAAAGATTATCAATTTTGAAAGAACAAAATTTAAAAAATGGAAAACAGATTAGTGGTTGCCCAGGGTTAGGGACAAGAGGGAGGTGGGTGTGGTTATAAAGGGGCAGCACAGGAGGCATCCTTGTGGTGATGAGTTTTTTATCTTGACTATGGTGGTGATGGATACACACAGAATAAAACTGTATAACACAAACGCACACACACAAATAAGTACAAATCATACCGGGGAAGCCTGAATTAAATGAATGAATTATCAATGTCAGCAGCCTGATTGTTACATCATACCACAGTTTTGAGGCATATGGCATCTTGTATTATTTCTTACAACCTACATGTGAACCTACAATTATCCCTAAATAAAAAGTTTTAAAAATGATTACAAAATACACTTTCTCTGTTCTAAATACATCTCCTGACCCCAAATAAAAATATACAAGGAATCAACACCAAAACCCCTCTCAGTGACAAAAATAAAATAAAAATTATCTAGAGGCAGTAGTAATTCCCCTAAAAAACAAACAAAAACCCCCCACAATAAATGTTATGTCTAAACATTCTTGCCCTGTTGATATGCTCTTAATTTTCTTTGAATTTCATGTTAATTTAAATGACTTTTAAAGATCATATCCTATAAATTGAAGGTTTCTCATGACGAAGTGGTGATAAAATGCTATCTTACTGTGAATTCAGATTGTGGTGGAGCCATACTTAAAGAGAGGGAAGGGAAGGGAGAAGGGAGCCACCATTAGCTTATCTCTTTATTAATAGATAAAAGCAAATCACACACACACACTTCCTCTCTAGTCTGCATGATTTCGGGCTGAGGGGTGAAATGCTAACACCATAAGGATTCCTCAAAGCTAGGTCTTGACCGGCTTTGGATCTCCTGGAAAATATTCAGGCATATCATGGCTCTTTCATTAATACAAGACAAGAAATAATGTGTCAAAGGCGTGGAATTCCTTTGGTGTGAAGAAGTCGAAGGGGACCAAAGGCAGGGTGACGTCTCTGGGCACCAGGATAAAACGGGTCTGATTAGGGGAGATTCCCATTCACCTAAAATGACTTCCAGGCAATTCCTTCAGCTTTGACTTTCAACCTGACACATGCCTGGTTGCCATGAAGATGGAAATAGGGATGGTGGGCCCCTCACACCAACCTGTGAGCTTCACCCTCTCAGCCTCACCCCCAAAGGCCCCTTAAACGGACTGAATGCGCCCTAGAGAGTTTGCTCAGTGGTTGGAGCGTCCTGCCCGAGGCCTGAAGGGTCCGGGCTAGATCCCTCCGGCCTCTCTCACATCGATGCTTCTCGCCCCCCCCCCCC